GCTATATCTTTCTGTTTTTCTCTTGGCTCTCCTAATCTCCTTCTTTACCTCTTTTTGTACAATATTGTATTCAGTGCATTGATCACCTTCTCATTTCTCTGAATGTGCTTGATGAATTTTCTTTTCTTCCTCAATCACCCTTTTTACATTTATGGGTGCTTTTGTTTTAAGGTTCTCCTGTTGTGTTTCGGTACGTACTTGTCCTGCATGCTCTGCATAATTTTTTTTATCAGTATCAGTAACTAAGTAACTCACTTACATCCATGTAAAATGGATATTATGTAAAATATGTCAATTCTAGATTTCTCCCTAAAACAATCTTGAAATTCCATCCTACTTGCAGTTGGCCAGGTCCTCATGCCATTCTATAAAATTGTACGACCTCACAGCTTTTGAAAGCAAAGCTCGTATTTCCCTGTACGAGCCCAAAATATGCTTCCTACAAGAAAGGAGGTAATTATTTAGGCCTTGTGCTTTTGGGACTCCATATTCTTGATCTTTATCCAAATTAGTAATGGAATACATTCTACCCTGCTTCCATTTAGCCAGAAAGAAACCCCCTAGAAATATTTGAGGTCATTGGCTACAACTTAAGCCAACTACTTAATAAACACATAATTTTGGAAAGCATCTGTAAGGCTGCCATCTGAAGCAAGCTGCATTATTTTACAAAACGCGGCTGCTAGAAGAGTCTTATAAAGAGGGCTAATGTTTTATCTTGCTCAAAAGGCTTATCCTCCTTATCAAAGGAGTTCTTCATTCTTGAAATGAAAGCTTCCAGCATATACTACTCATCCAACAAGCTGCTCCCATTCTCTCTTGTTCAGAAGGATCTGTTTATTAGTACCACTTTTTATGTTAGGAGTTTTTAATTAAACCGTGGAACGATATAACAGGGACTGCCACACAAAGCAGGACCTTAGCATGGAGATAGGAATGGAGTGTGAAAAGAGAGTGTAGAGGATACTGTATTAAATTGATAGACCTTTAGTGAATTTCATGATCACCGTGCTCATGTCTGAAAACTGGAAAGAGGTGAAACGTGAAATATTTATTTTATGTTAATCGCCCAATTCTAGCTTTTATCTGTGATAAAGTAAATCCATGGCTGTGGCACAACCCAATGCCCACACCACAAGCAGGTAGGATTCTACAATAATAATGAGCAATAATAATAATTAATAATCCTTGCATTTTATTTGACGCCTTATCATGTCTTTTAGATGTATCAAAGCCCTTCACAGAATGTACTGTAAAGTGAATTGTTTGTATATTTTGTGAAAGTAATTATGGGTAATACATGGATTGAGCCTAGAGAATAGGAAATGCCAAGAGGTGACAACAAAATGTAAATGTTACTATGAAAGGGACATTAATAAGCCTCTTATATAATCAAAAATCTCTCATTTTCAAATGTAGTTAGTAATCTAGTTCACACAGGACAAATATAATATTGGGTGTTAGGGTTGCCATTTGCATTCAAAAAAATTACAATTTTACCACGACTGTATGCTTTCTCATTTTGAATGCTCTGTCCTTGCCCATGGGAGACAATAAGCTCCTAAAGCTCTTCCAGTTTTGTTGCTCATTTAACCTCTAGTAGGTGTGCAAGTGGCACAGGATGGCTTGGTCACTATATTTTTATTTGACTCCGTTCCTCCATCAATCTAAGGAACCCATGGCTTGCTAACTTTCTTTAACAGTTTTAAAGGCAAATGGGAAATTGTGGGTGCAGTCTACTTCCTCAGACAGAATGCATTATTTAGGAATAGAGATAATATTTTTGTACATATGTCATATATAAATATAAAAATCAATTCTAAAAGTACACCTATTTGTAGTGTAATCATTATGATCGCTGATTATGCAGGTTTAATATGCTGTGATTTCTAATATGATTCCTTAATAAGGAAACTGAGTGCAGTTTTTATATAAATGTTAACTAGCTTGTGGGAGCTTTGCTTTGAAAGTGTGTCAGAGTGGCATTCCCACACCATGATGTGACTTATTTCCAGTTTTGTTATTAAGGAATCCTTTAAGAAATCACTGCATTTTAGTCCCCAAATGTGAAAATTCACGTAAATATTTAGATTTATTTTATTGTACTGTGTAAACTAAACTGACAATAATTTCTGGAGAATATGATTGAAGCATAAAAAAGTAAGTAATTTGTAAGAAACAGATTTAATGTGATTACATGTTTGTAAACTATGACACAATAAAAGTCCATGTGCCATTTTTTCCTTTGCCAAGTATAATAAAGTCTGATGTATATCATTTGGAAAAAACTCTTAAGCTCTCCCTTTAAAAACTTGCTGTTGAAGTGGTGGAAATAGTCATATACTTGATTATATTCTTGTAAGACTTCAGATTTACATTATGGTCAGCCTTCCTGGAAATAGATGAAATCTGAACAAAAGAATGTATGAGGAGCAAAGAGGGGTTGGTCTCAAAACATTGCAGATGGAGACTGATTATCTAAACTACAGGAAGAATAAATATTGGCTCAGTTATCTCTGAGCAGTTCACAATAATTGAAAACTTTACAGTCAGCCGCTGTGACTGCCAGGTGGTTAAGAAGGAGAAAAATGGCAAATATATTTCATTTGGCAAGTCTTGTAATGTTCCATGTTAGCCTGATTATACACAGATACAGCTTGGGAGCAATGGCATTTATCATTGTATCACTTGCTGTCAGGGAAACTGAGTTGTGTCTTGGCAGGAAAGAGAGAGAGAAGAATGTCATAGCCCTGAACTGGCCTGGATCCAAAAGTACTGACTGTATAATTGAGATTGATAGGTAGTGTAACATTTCACCTATACAAATGCAATTTAGTGAAGTGTTAGATCAAGAGGAGGAACATGTCAAGTTCAAATTTCGGATATCAAATCTAAATAATGATTCAATCATCATCTATCAAGATCTTTTATCAATATCAATTATGAGAAGTCACCATAAAGATTGTGATTAATTATAATCATTAAAATGACTGCTGATCAAAAAACAAGTTTGAGATCATGTTCTTAATGGAATCTGCCTGCCAGGTCACCAAATTAAGGAGGATTGGAAAAGAGTGGTAAAGGTGATTCTTATTCAAGATTTATCATTCCGTAAGCAGTTTAGTGCATTTTTGTGTGATGATGATCTATTTGACTGGCTCCAAGGTAACATACCTGGCAATGGATTGTCAGAAACAAGATTAACTGCTGTGACGGTCTCATCGGTCCAGTTCCTGAGCCAGGTGGGTCTGCAGTATTCTGATGATAGACCACTCTGCTTGGTTCATCAGCAGTACCTGGAGGGGCAAACTGGTCACTGGGGGAGAGACATTATGCCCACTCAACTACTGTTAGCCCTGTAAGCAAAATGCCCTGACAAATAAGGTGGTCCTAGCTGGACAAGCATCAGGAAGCTTGCCAGACAGTGCATTCAATGGTAAGGTATGTAGTACCTTTAGCTGGTTAAACTCCAGCAGTACCCCAACACACATTCTGGGTCACCTTGGCTCTTGCCAACCTTTGCGTAATATTCTCCGGAATTAAGTTTTGAACAATTGCCTGCTGCGTTTCGCCCACATAATATACAGTCAATTCACTTTACAATATATTCTGTGATGTGCTTGGAGACTTCTCGATGACATGATAAGGAAACAGGGTGTGTCCAGCCAAGGAGAGTGTATATTCCATGTGTACATGGAACACTCAGTCTGGTTTGAATACTCTTAAGCATGATGATGAGTTTTCTCATGTATCAAACACTGGCTGATAAAACAAAAGAATAGTCAAATAAATTGTTGGAATTAACTTTTTTGATTGATTTAAAATTCAACAAAAATACCATTGATTCTCCTTTGAACAACCAAATTAATTCCAATAAATGTTGGTATTTTTAATTGCATTTACAGTAATTCCTACCTGATGCCAAGGAAGCATTATCTAAAATAACAACTCAGCAATATCAGCAACCACAAACCACTTGGGATGATTCTCTGTTTGTCATTTCTGTTTAACTTTGGTGTATATTTGGGAAATTAGGTTATGGGGTGAATAATATCTAACTTGATGTGACATTTTTTGATGGAGATGGCTCAAGCCCCTCCACACCTCCCCCGTCCCCCCGCTTCACTTCATTCAAATTGTTTTGCCCAAAAGCCAGTTGTGCAAGTTTAGAGTTGGTCAGCAGTGCCTTTGATCCTACCAGAGCCCAGAAGTTCAGTGCCAGTTCAGGGGATACCATCGTAATTCAGCTTCTAAATTTGAGTTAACCTGGTGTTCCCCAAATTGGGACTGAAATACTGGGATGGGATCTGTCCAGCAGGATCGAAGCTGTTTCCAGTCAGCTCAATAGATGAAGCACTGGCTTTTGGGCAAGACCATTTAATTAGTCGTGGAGTGTTCCCCTGCGGCACTTATCGACTGGGACATCTAAAGGAGGTGGATGTTCCAGGATATAATTAGCACATAACATATTTTCACACCCCATAAGTACACACTGCCATGGGTGGTAAGATGAACAAGTGGAGAATAGCATCCTCAGTTAATTTGAAGTGAAAAATAACTTTGATGCTGGGTTGCAAATTGTGGCTTTCCTATCTTAGTCCTATTGTTAAAACACTTAGACTGTGTGATTCCAAGTCCCATCCTGGCGCTTGAACCCACATCCTTCTGACCCAGAAGCAAGAGTGAGCAAGGCTGACACACAAAATGAAATGAGATCTTATTACATGGAATCAGTGCCGCAAGTGAGTTCTGCACAGGATTGGGAGCATAATACAATAGTATTCTGCAAATGTATCACCTTCATTCTCCATCTTTCATACACCATGTAAATTGTACATTGTAAAACTACTTTCGCAGCAGGATTTAGATTTTACATGAGTTAATAATACCCAAGAGTATGTAATGTCAGTAAATTATTGGCATCATGTTCGGCCAGTGTAAACAGAGCCCTTGTTGATCTTGCTTTCTGTGAACTAATTGATTTTGCATTAATTTGACAGGTGACTTTCCGAACAAGGATCTATCATTGCAATATCAACAGTCAAGGTGTGATCTGTCTGGATATCTTGAAGGATAACTGGAGCCCAGCTCTGACCATCTCAAAGGTTCTTCTGTCAATTTGTTCTCTTCTCACAGACTGCAACCCTGGTAGGTGGAAATGATAATCTTTGATCTCTTTGCACTTCATCTGTCCAGTTCCATTTTTTAATTATTTGCTGATAACACAATTATATACTTGAGTTTTTTAAAACCTCCTTTAAGATTAATCTTATCTTATATTTGGGTTACAATTGTATTTACACTTTGTGCAAAATATAATTTGAGTATGTAGTGTGGCAAACAGATAACTCAGTGGATACATGCTTGTAATTTGTGTAACAGTCCTGAAAGAGGTGTACAATAATCTGTTGAAGCCTTAAACCCTCAAAATACTGAATCCTGTTTTTCAATTGTCTGGAAACATGATATGCTGTTAGATTGCTGGGTGCAACTTATTGCACTGTGGCATCATTACATCTGAATATTAAAAGCACTTAAATGCATGAAGAGTTTTTGCTCAGACTTGAAATCAATAATTTAGCTGCATAAGAATTCAATTTTATTCTACAACTGATCATAACTGCACACTTTTGAGTCTGATTTGTTTTCTTCTCCACAAATGTAAAATGTACTACTTAAATCATTAATCTGAATTCCAAGACAATGGTTTCATATATAAACAGTATCGAATAGCTATTTTCAAGTTACTTATTCTGCTTCCAGCTTTAGTTGCAAATGTCCTCATTAGAAAACATAGAGCCAGGGCTGGAATGACAGCTAATTAACTCTCTGAGGCATAGAATACCAACTATGTGAAAAGGGCAGTATTTGTTGAATACTCTAGATGGGATTATAAAACTATGATCCTCTGATTTTTTTTCCCCTCTTTCTAGTGTTCTGCCCTTTTTCAAAGTACCTATAATCATCTGCGTCTACTTAATCATCTCTGACAAATACTGGAAAACACTTTACTAATTACTTGTTTAGGGTTGTCACAGGTGAAACCCTTAACACACATTGTGCTGTACTATCTGATTCCTTCTTACCAGTGTGTGAAGAACCTAATAAACAGCCGTGTTGGGCCCATTTAATTTCCCCACATGCTGTCTTTTAGGCTCATATATCTAATCCGATCATTAATAGAGAATTCAAATCAGGGAAGAATGCAGAATTAAAAGCAACAATTTAATTCTACTTCAGGATTCCTTCAAGGAAGAATCATTATTGTCTTTCTCTAGAGTCATGTTCAGGGGGGAAATCCTGTGTAAATATAACAACATATCAATATTGCTACCATGAGATGTTAAGTACTGTTTAATCTACTTAATACTGATGCCACAGTGCAATATGTTGCACCCAGCAATCTAACAGCACTACCTCTTCTCCACTTGGAACCTAAGTGGGGAATAATTTACCAGTGGAGGGGGATTGCAATAGATACTTAGATGAGGAAGCTGTCAAGAGGGGTTACCTTCTACATATTGAGGCCAGATTGTAGAGATTATTCATTCCACTCACTCAGGGAGCCCCAATCTTGTCAACATTGCAGTCTGTGTGTGAGGACTGCACTATTCTCAGGAGCTGTAAAGGAACTTGTATGTTCTAGTCCCCAGAGTGTCTGTCTTATTAGGAGATTCTGCTTGATCCTGAATCCCAAACTACTGAACAACAGCAGGCCAGCAGATACATTATATCTAACAGTATTACCTATTAAATCAGGCATATCCTTCTGCTTCAGATAATTCAGGCAGTTTGCCCAGATTAGTTGTTATCAATCACATAAAGACAATATAAAAGATCGTATAATTAAATAAAAATGGTGAGGCTAGGAAACATTTAAAAGGCTGTTGAGGTTAAATAATAGGATTATTAAAAGAAACACACAGCAATATAAAAAAGTAGATTGAAGATAGCAGCAAGCCACAAACCAACATTTTCTTTTGCTATGTTACCAGTTAACTGTTTGTTAAACACCAGATGGTTCTTTAAGTTTGAAACAGATGGAAGAAGCCCTTATAGTGCAGTGGATAGAGCTGCAATTTAGGGAGCTGGAGCTCACTAGTTAAAATCCCGGTCCATACTGAGTTTGTTAGTTTTTGGGTTTAGCTGAGATTGCATGGGGTGGCTAAATTGCCACTGGCCTTCGCAAGATTAGGGAAGAAAAACAGCTAGGATTGCTGTTACTGCTCTCTATTGTTGTGTGCCTGTTTGGCAGCCGGATGGAGAGAGGTCAGGCTTGGCTGTCAAGCCCACTATAGTCGTGTGTCCTGCCAGTGATCACTGCCAAGGCTCCCACATGAACAAGGGCTATTTAGGTGGGGATCCCAGAGGGTAATTGGCACCTGTGAAACACTAGCAAGGTCAAACCAACAACAGAAGAATGCAAATAGAGAGAAAACAATAATAATTGGACACTATTTTGGGACAGTGAAATTTAACATGGACTTTCAATTTAGAAATACCTAAATTAACAACTAATACAAAGGATTTATTAAAGGATTCATTACTAAGAACCAGTCCTTTCCTTGTTAATTCTATTATTAAGGAAAATTTTAATTTCCTCTGTGCACATGGTTTGTACAACTCACATAAAAGACTCCCAATGAGTCAAAGGAAATGGATGTAATCTTAAAATTACTGCTAAAACAATTAAAAATAAATCCAGAAGGTCTTGACGAAATGGTTATGTAAATATACAATACACCACTGCATAAGTGCAGAAATGCAAAAGTTGTTTGAAAGGCACGCAGATAGGTACTTGGGAAATAATATCATTAAGATGTATGGAGAAAGCAGGGAAATTAAAATAAAAATGTTAAAGGCTGCCATGATGTAATACAATGGTGGAACAGGTTTGACTGGTTAAATGGCTTATTCATCTTCTTATGGGTGATAACTATCACATTAGACATATTATAAAACACCATCAAATTTAGACCTGTTCCTTAACCATTGCTGCTTACTATTCTGCCTTCTCCCAATTTCCCCGCATTGCTTACATCCAATCCAGGCAATTCTTGATTTTTCCAAATTTTTCCAAATTTTTGCCGGAGAGGCAGTATTTGAGTGCCTCTTCACCAACAGAATTAGTCTGTATCCTTTGACCTGACCTTCAATTGAACCTTCAATTGAATCAAAAGAGAGAGACAGATCAGTGTTTGATCATTAAGGGATGTGGAGAAAAGGGAGGAGGAATGGGATTAAAAAGATAAAGTACTGCCAGGAGCAAATACAAAATGCTACAGCAGCTAAATGGTCCTCCTGCTACTATGTTCCTAAATTATTCTAACATTGTATGGATTAATAGGGAGGCCATATTTGGAACACAGGGTGTAATTTTTGAGCATGCTACTAACTTCAGAAGATCATTGAGTTTTGGATAGAATTCAGAAACAACTGGTGTTTGAGTATGTCTGGTTTGTATGGCTTAGTTTTCCACTAGGTCATTCCTTCTGTAAAGGAATAGTCATAGTACCTCAGCCGATTTTCTTATCCATCTTTGCTATTGTGCACTTCTTCACTGTATACATGTTTCTTGTTATACATTGTTTCAACATGTATTCACATTGAAATCCATCTGCCTTTCCTTGTCCCATCGTTTAGTAGTGCTGATCCCTTTCCTACAATCTCTCTTAGACTTATTTGCAAGTTGCTTAGAATAAGTGTTATTAGCAAATTATACAATACAGTATTTTAAAAAACACTTCCCTCCATTATCATTCATTTTATCTGAGGGTCAGCCGGATGTCTGACACATGTGGAAACTCATCACTATGCTTGAGTATACAAAACAAACAGTGTTCCATACATCAACCTACACATTGGAAATTCTTGCAATATGTATTGCAATCCTGCTTTCCTAAAACTGGAGAGTATTAGGTGCAGGTTGGCAAGGGCTGAGGCTTGGGGACCCCGGAGTGCATTGGGATACTCCTGCAGTCTAATCAGCTAAAACCACACAGCTTGCCATTGAAACACTGTCTGGCAAGCTTTCACATTGCTTGTTCAGCTAGGACCACCCTACGTGTTAGGATTTTGGCTTGCAGGATTAACAGAAGATGAGTGGGAAGAATCCCTGCCCCCAATGACTTGTTTGCCCTTCCAAGTCCTGCCAATGAGCCAGGCTTGCTGGGCTGTCATCAGCAATGCCATGGAGTACTGCAGATCCGTCTTGTGAAGTTCTAGCCACCTTGATATTCTCAAGTCCAATGCCAGGTAGTATGCTTATTCAGCACCAGCTGCTTAATCCAGGATCTCACGTGAGGGGCTTTGACAAATAGATATGCCCGCTGTGTTACCCCCTCCTACCTCTCTGACCTGCTGACTCCCTACCAACCTGCCCGCTCCCTCCTCTCAGCGGGCTCTGGTCTGCTCCATGTCTTCCGCCCAACTCGCCCTATGATCAGTAGCCGAGATTTCAGTCTCTCCGCCCCCACACTCTGGAACTCCATCCCACAGTCCCTTTGCCTCCCTTGCCTCCTTCAAGACCGGTCTCAAGACCCTCCTCTTCGATCGTGGATTCAGTCACCCTCCCACTTCTCTGCCTTCCCTCACCCCTACCCCATCCCTCCCTCCTGCTCGGGTCCTGATCCCTGACTGTCCAGAACCTTGGGACGTCCTCCCGACATGAAAGGCACTCTATAAATGTAAATTTGTTGTTGTTGTTGTTGTTGAAGCCAGCTCCTCCTTCAGGATGCTCAGCCTCAGGTCAGTATAGGCTGGAGCCCTCCCTCCCTGCTTCCCATGATTGCCATAAATGGGCTGGAGGAAGCCTTTCTCCTGCACCATTAGCATCCCTGAATAGTGTGGGCTTCACTGGTCACTTGGCCAAACTGAGGTTTAAGTAAAGTTGGATTATTTGGAAACAGAACAAATGTTACTTTAGGTTGGTGCCTATGGCATTGTTTGGAATATATTATATTTTATTTTGGCTTCTTATGTACAAAAACTTACTAATTATATTATGGTCTCTTGTGTATAATACTTACTCATATTCTCTATTACAGCTGATCCTTTGGTTGGAAGCATAGCCACTCAGTATCTGACCAACAGAGCAGAACATGACCGAATAGCCAGACAGTGGACCAAGAGATATGCCACATAAGAATTCACTGCAGTAAACCCTGACCCTGGGAAAGCACATTCACTAAGTGCAACGACAGCCCGTCCCTTATTCCTAGCTTTATTTCCTTTTTTTTAAAAACAACTTTATGTAAAAATGTCCTTTTGTTCCCTGATGACTTGAAATAATTTGAGACTGTTGTTTTTACAATGAGTAGTTTTGGATCTCTACAATGCAAAGAATGTTGGAGTTGCGCTAGTAGAGAGCTTTATTGTTACATAGCTTTGTATAAGTGTGTTTCCTTTCACGTGGTCCTTGAACCATAATAGATTATATCTAATTTCTTCGTATAGGTAGTGCTTAGAACCAAGTTTTTGTACTAAAGTTAATCATGTCAGGTGCATGCTACCAGGTTAAAGCTTTGTAATAAGCTTAAATTAACAATCACTGTGCATTATAATGATGACTGTCCTTATCAATAGCCTGGAAAAAAAATTCAAAAAGGCTGTTGATCAACACAAAAGATTTGTGTATTTTGCAAGATATCTACTTTTAATTTTAATTTAAAAAATTAAATTTTAAAATTGAATTTTAATGCTTGTGAATTTTGAGGTAAATGCAGCTCCTGACTGTGGAACAGTTTGATGTACACTTGTATTATTGAAGCACTCAATAAAACAGCACTATGGCTGAAATACAGCTTACATTTTCTTTAAGCACATTTAGGGAATTAACTGTCTGTTTAAATGCCAACTTTATTACTTTTTAAATTTTTTAATATGCTTATATAAAACATTACTTGGAGCAAAAAAAACATTAATATATAATGTATTTAGAATAGAGTGAAACTTTGATTATCTGCACCCTTGTTATCTGCCTTCCTGCCTTATTTACTATAATTTTCTCTACTTCGTTCGTCATCCCTGCTCAGCTTTCAGCTCACGGAGCTGAATTAGAGAGGCAAGTGGAACACATACCATATTGACCAAGATGGCCTTTTTGATGGATCTCTGATATAAAGACTCCCAAGAGACACCATCGGTCTCAAACTTAGCAACCGTTAATCGGTCTCAAGAAATTGTTTATAAAACACATTTATAGTCAGTGATGAATGTGATTTGTGAATTTTAATTGCTCGTTTTAAGATTTGATTCCAGTAGAATCATTTCATACATTAGAGGATTGAATCAGACACAATTTATGTTTTACATAAGCTTGTCTCAAGATTTTTATACTTTTGAAAATTAAATCCATTCCTGAAACAAGATGATATATCTTGCTGAGAATTTGGAAGCTTTAGGATGAATAACTGTGTAATCATACACCAGTTACCAAACATGTAGTTACCTGTTCAGTGCAACCTTGGTTATCTACCAATTTCAATTATCTATCAGGGATCCTCTCCATTACGGTACAAAATCAAGGTTTCCGAGGATGATAAGGATTGTATATTGAATCAAGTATATAATTCTCTTTTCACCCCCCCCCCCCCCCCCATACAACACATTTTCTAATTTCTAATAATGTCTGAATTTGATGTTTGCCCTTTAAAACTGACAAGTATATTAGGTGATAGGATACTGGATTTTGCAGTCACAAGAAAAATATGTAATTTTCTACCTTTCACATTATATGCATTAACTAACTAAAAAAAATTATGTGACAATGAAGAAGGAAGATAGGAAGAATGACTGTCACAACAACAACAAGATTCCATTTATAGAGCGCCTTTCACGTCGGGAGGACGTCCCAAAGCGCTGGACAGTTGGGTCAGGACCCGAGCAGGGGGGAAATGGTCAGGGTGAGGGGAGGGAAGGGAGGGAGCGAGGAGGGAGGAAATGGTCAGGGTGAGGGGAGAGAAGGGAGGGGACGAGGAGGGGGTAGTCAGCACTAGACCATCGTACATCATATAGCAACTGTGTGAACAGCAATTGCCAAAAGCTGGTGAGTAGGTTACCTTTGGCCTAAAGAATATGTGGCTATGTTGAATTGTAAGTGTGGAAGGAATAATGAAAATAAGTATCAGTTCTTACTTCCTATTAATGAAAGCTTCAGATGTCACATTTACTTCAGAGATTTAGGTTTCCTGGAGCCAATGGTACTTTTCCTAAGCAGGTACTTAAACAGCTATTATTTAAGGAGATAATCTCCACTTTTAACTTGACCGCTTTTATTGGGATTTAGTTCCACAGATCTAATGCATGTGTTGATTGTATTTTGCACAAAGTTCATTGATCTCACGCGCAGGCAGTTTTCGAAAAGCTCTTATGCCGTTTGTTCTTATAGCTTCTCGCTATCAGTCCCACAAGCCACAATGGAACGAACAAAAGTGTTCAATGTCAGCCTGATAGCAAGAACCAAAAGGATGAAAGTAATCACAAAAGAGATTTGGATAAAATAGGCCATTTGATTTCATCCTTCTAGAATACCAATTCTAACACTATCTTATTAAAGCAACAAGCTCGTTCTTAAATGTCTCCATTATAAATTGCACAAAAGGTAAATTATCTAAGCTTTATCTCCTGGATAAAATGCAAAATAGAGACTCACTAGAGCTAAAACCTTGCATCATACATAGTTGTTTCCAGGAATTGAAGTTTTCAGAAAAATGTTTGTTTTGCAGAATGCTGTATGCAAAAGCCAATCTTTTGGGGAAGAGCAAGAAAGGAAAATAGAAGAGAGTGGCTAAGAAAAACAGAAACAAGATATTTGGAAAGAAATCTGCTGAGAGATATCAAGAACATAGCTACACCCACAGTTACATCTAGTGCAGCAAACACATTTTGGTCAGCTGGGTGTCTTGACACAAGCTGAAACTCATTACCGTGCTTAAAGCCTATCCAAACCAAGCTGATAATTCCATGCATCCTACCAGAGATAGATTGTTGGAATGGAATGCATACTCTCCCCCGGGAGGGATGCATCCTGCTTACCTAATTCTGGAGAATATTATGCAAAAGTTGGCCAAGACTTAGGGATGCCAGAGTGTGTGTTGGGATACTGCTGGAGTTTAGTCAGCTAAAACCGCATAGCTTGCCATTGAAAGGACCGTCTGGCAAGCTTTCCTGCTGCTTGTGCAGCTAAGACCACCCTACCTATTAGGGCTTTGTCTCACAGGATTAGCAGGAGTTGCATGGGAAGGGTCCCTGCCCTCAGTGACTGGTCTGACCTTACAAGTCCTGCTGATGAACCGGGCTGGCTGTGCTGTCATTAGCAGAGCCCTGGAATGGTCAAGCAAATGCACATATTTACTTATCAGCTTAAACACCTTTGTGCTGTGGGTCAAATTGAATCAGAAACAACAATAATGTTTGTGTTGAGGGAGGCAGAGAAGGAGTTCATATAATTTTTCCAATTTTATATCTTATAATTATCAGGTCAGATCATGCAAGTAACTTAGAGTAACACATTAAGTGTATCTCACAGAAGGCATATTAGTACAATAATCTTCTTATTTGATGTAACCTGATCAAGTTGTCGAGATGCTGAAAGCACTTCACAGGATATACTGGATTCACTGTATTTTGTGGGCAAAACAGCTATAATTAGCACAAAATTAAAGAATGCTATGGTATAGAAGTGTCATTTTCCGTGTTGCATATTGGTACAGGTGTAATTTAAAAAATCCCTGTGACAACACCTGAGTGTGGTATAGAGCTCATCTTTGTGTGAGATACGGAGGGGGTGGAATTTGGATCGCTTTATTGAAGCAAAGAAGAAGTCCCATCACTGGATCTTCACGCTTCCCGAAGGTAGTGACCTGAAGGTGCAGAATAAAACTTCTTTTCCCAGCTCTGCCATTCTTCACAGTGCTAAAACTGAAAAAAAAGTCAAGATTTATTTTGTTTTGAGAAAGACTCTTCTGTATAATCTATTGTAGCTAACCATAGAAACAGGAAATGTGTGGCTGTTACAGTTACGTGAAAGTGAAAGAAATAAGCATGGTGTTTATAAATAGCTGTTTTAACCCAGTATTTGTATGACATTCAAAGTGATAATGCATAGTAAACTATATTCTTACACAATGAAACTTTTTTTTAAAAAGGTATGAAATTAAAGTAACCAGTGTAAAGCCATTTAAGGATTGTATATATTATATTTATAAACAACAATTTCTGGTGACAAATAAATTAGCTTCACATTTCAAAATTGTAGACAAAAACAACAACAATATCAGCCATTTCCATTTACATGGCACCATTCACGTTGGGAAGACATCTAAAAGAGAAGGTTTTCAAGGTGGGGAGTCAGGGTCCCTGGTGGAGTGACTCCAGGAAGCAGTTCCAGAGAGCGAAATAACCAAAAGCTCACCCAGTAATGGTGGTGTAGGGTGGGCTGGGGACATGGAGCAGGCCACTGTTAGCCGAGTGGAGGGAGTGGTCGGGTCAGTCAGGTTGCACGAGGTCACAGTGTGGCCGAGGCTGTAGAGGGATTTGAATTCAATCCTTGGGTAGATGAGGAGCCAGTGGAGCCGATTGAGGATGGGAGTGATGAGCTTGCGGATTCGTTTGTGGAAAAGGACACAGGCTGCAGATTCTGGATCTAGTTTTGTGTAGAGGGTAGTTCAGGAGTTCAGTGAGCTGTTTTGGCAGCCGGGGGTGGGGGGAGAGTTAGTGGTTGATGTGCATGATATTGCAGGGTTAAGGGAAAGCTGAATGAATACTACCTGAATGTCAGGCTTGAAGGCCAAATTGGGTGGGGGGAGGGGTTAAACAAGGATCTGTCGCTCCACACCGGCTCCCAGTCTGTGACATTGAGTGAGCATCAGTGCAGGTCAATGGTTCAGTGCCTGAGGTAATAACGGAGCCAAGCAGGTTTGTAAAAGAAAGAATTTGTGTTTTTATAGTTCCTCTTCCCATCAAAAAATCTCAAAGGACTTCACAAGTAATCACTGCTTTGTCAGCAAACGTCCCTCCTCTTTTCAAGTAGTGTCACTGAAAATGTTATTATGACTTCCCCTAATCTAGCAATAGCATTTTCAGTATTTGATAACTTTATAGCAGTGTTAATTGAAAACATTAAAGTAAAATAATCAGAATTGCAAAATATATGCCACAATTTCTCAATTTTATTTTCCTCAAGAAATCCTTTTTATTTTACTGTGTTTGAGGCCTGAGAGGTATTTTAACTATACTGATCTGTAGCTTCACTGTGACTGCACTGACAGTATTTAAACACACCTTCCCTGAGGCCAGTTTGCTTACCGGAGAAAGGTTTACATACCAAGTCACACATTTTGGATTGGTTGACTTCTTATTTCACTTACAAGGAACAGTATTTTTCCAGTTATACTGTTGCTGATTTTTGCATTGACTAGTTTTCGCCCACTGCAATCCATGTGTAGGAGTGTAAATCAGCATAATTTATATGTTCATTAGAGTTAGACAAGAGGTCAAGTGGGAGAGACACATAGATCTCTTGAAACTATTATATGGAGAAGAAAGAAAGCTTACACACTCTGGTAGCCTTAATTCTTCAAAAAATAGACACACAAAGCATTCCTGTCTACCTTTCCAGTGAATCCTTTGGTAAATTGCCCTACACAGACATATGTGATCTGCATGGTCAAATAG